TAAAGTTTTGGATTGTGAAATAATTACAAATGAGTTTAAAGGTACTAAAACTTTTATCCTACGCATTAACTTAACACTTTCTAATTTAGATGTTCCATTTTATATGTTTCAAAAACAATTTCCTCTTTGTCTTGGATACTATATGACAATTTCAAAATGCCAAAGTCAAACATTTGATTGTGTGAACATCTACTTACCCAAACCAATTTTTACCCATGGGCAGCTCTGTATTGCACTCTCAAGATGCACATCACCACAACAACTTGCAATTCGAGTTGACATAACTCATACACAAAGCCATTTAATTCCATTTAATTCATCAACATTCACCATCAATACTATATACAAAGAAACTTTATATTAATTGACTCCTCTCCTATTACACCTTAAAACATGAAAACAAAAACTTTGTTTATTTTTTAACTTTCCTTATTGCCCAATGGATAGCAATGGACCAAAATGGCTTAATGCTAGAGATGGAGGAATCATTTCATAAGGAAATTGTGAAATGTGAGCAAGTTCTATCACAAAGATATGTTGGTGAGTGTGAGAGGCTTTGCTAACTACCCAACATTGGCTGAGCATACTAGTAATACATAAAATTAACGGTAGGCAAAATAATGACTATTAAGAGGAAAGAGAATATCCTTTAGGATCTTTGCAAAGAAAAATGTTTGTGACTCAACATTTACTTTTAATTTTCACTGGATATGACCTATTTTAGAAACTGCAAATCTGAAGATCGGGGAAATCCTGTGAGGATTGCATGCGATGGTTGCCAGCCTTTGGAACTAAGACCAAGGTTGTTGCAATACTACAAGATTTGAAAATTGTTCTACTGGAGGAAAATGAGTTACTGCAGAGCTGAGTTACCATTGGTTGGCTAATTGCAAATGATGGCAAGTGCTGATGCTATCCACTATGCATGGAGGCCAGTGATCAAGAATAATGCGGCTGTGGACTACACTATTCTTCCTAGGACACTGGTGCAACCAACTATAGCAGCACACCATCCAGTAGTGGCATGGAACAATATCTATGCCGGTACCAGTAAGCCGCACGAGTTTGTACTCTGCTTCCTCCTGGTGGAATCGAACTATGACCAGTTCGGCTTCCAGGCCACTGCAACAAGTCCCGTATGGTAACAAAACAAGCTGTGAAAGGTTCGTTGCATATGCTTTTGTAGCTGCTCATACTTAAGGAACGAACAATGCAGGTATTGCTAGTGCAAAGCGTTGCTGCAGTACAATGTTCCTGTTCCATGTCAGAGGAGGTGAAGATTCCCAAGGGTGTCGAGATTGTCAATGACATCGAGCGAAATGGTGAAGTGTGCAAAACTAACTTTTTTTTCCAGGGGAGGGAGTGTGAACAAGAAGCGGAAGTTTGCCTTCTGTTTAAAGTGATCTATCTGTCTCTTCAATACACTTTCTGCTTTCTCTCTCCTGCAGTGAAGCCATTCTCTAAGCTCCTTAACCTTGGAGCGATACATGGAAGATTAGCATCCAGCTAGCATCAAGCTGAACATGCCACATTTGTCATTTGTTGGGTCATATTTGACATCAGTCTAGAAAAAAAACTGCATAAATTTCTGTTGCAGTCTAAATGTCCAACATTCAAGTCTCATCCAAACAACTTGATTTCTTCAGCGAACCATAATAATTTGTATTCTTAGTCTCATTTCCAGAACCATAAGCAGGTGCATGGGTTTTTCAGTGCACCACTTCTTTATATT